GAGATTATTCAAGAAGTTTAAGTGCTTTGAGATCCCAACTCCAAAGCCAGCCTGATCTATCTAGGAACACCCCCAGCCCTAAAGCATCCTCCATCCCATTATCAAATTTCATTTTCTTCTCAAATTTATCAATACTGAAACCTCTTTATCTCCTGTTTCTTGCCTGCCTCCCTCCATACCACAATATAAGGATCAGGAGAGTGGAGCCAGATCACTTTGGGTTTCCATGACATCTCCATGCCTGTTTAGTGTCTGGCACAGTGTAGGCCCTCCATCAGCATTTACAATTCAATGAACAAAAAGTCTTTGAACTAAGATAAGGAAGAGAACATTGATCTATACTTCTGCTTATATAAGTAAGCAGAAATTAGTAAGCTCTAGATTAGCAAACAAGTTGTCAGGGAGCTGAGTAAGAAGCTTCACTGGGAGCCAGGCAGATATTCTGACAAAGCAATCTACTTTTTGAGGGAATATACCCCAAAGAAAAGGCAAAAAGATTTCATGGGAATGTGCTCTGATCTATCACTAGCCTGGATCACTGAAACACACACACACACACACACACACACACACACATGCCCACGCCCAGACACACACAGCATTTTCAGGCAAATACAAGACAGTAAATATAACTTTATCCATTAAAGGATGAGTTATAAGCAAAAAGAAGCACAATATGGGAGACTTTGTATTTATGCATTTAAAATTCATACAAGGGAAAGAAAGAACACCTAATACATAATATTTTTAAAAAGAAGAATTGCTATAGGAAACAAACAAAACAAACCCTACTAATTCTTCTAAATATTCTCAAAACAATTAAAGAAAATATGGACTCTAATGGGAAAAAACTACAAAAAGGAAATAACAGGTTAAAGAAGAGACAATAAGACAACACAAGAGATTTTAAAAATTGTCTAGCAGAGCTCAGAAGAAAAACCAAAAAACCCTACAAAGCTATTTTAGAAATGAAATCAAAATTTGAAACAGTAAGGTTAGAATGTATACTTCTGAAACTGTTAATCAAATGAAGAATTGGTTTGAGAAAATGATATGGAATGTGAAGTAGAAAGAGATACCCAGAAATGAAGGCAACAAGAAAAAGATGTAAAATATGGAGATCAGACCATGAAGAGGCCTGTGGCATGTCTTAGGAAACCAAATTGAGGAGAAAAAACTTTCTTTCTGAAGTGAAGAAAACCTGAATATATAGATGAAAGGATTACCCTAATGAGGCTACTGAATGTTGAGGTTAAACATCTGTGTCTGTGCGCATGTGTGTGTGAGTGTGTGCATGTGAACACGGCAATCAATCAATAGTTAATAAATACATAAATACAGTCATCTCAGAAAGAAAAAAATATTGGACTGGTCTTAGACTTTCCACAGGAATCATTGTTAATAGAGAGGAGTCACATCCAGATTTGTACTTTCAAGTGAGGAAAGAGAACTGAGAACAAATCCAAAAGTCATGCTCAGACATGCAGGGACTCGGAGAACTTAGTATCCATTAAACCTGCTTGGAAAATTACTTAATAAAATCCAGTGAGCCAAAACAGGAATCAATAAAAATAACTCAAAATGAGTTCACTTAATATAAAAAGTATACACTGAATTCTCTCAACCAGTGGTGCTGGCTGCTGTGAGACTCACTTAGGAACTCTGAAAGCAAGCTCCTTACTAAGCCTCTCTCCTGACCAATTGAATTTAGAATCTCTAAGATGTGAACTCAGAATCAAAATTTTTTTTTTCAGAATCAATATTTTTAAAACACATCCTTAGGTGAAAATATTGTACAAATAGGGCTGAAAACCACTGGTTTGGATATGAACAAAGGCTAATCAGCTGTGAGAGTTATGGTTACAGAAAGTGTCAAAAGTGTAAAAAATATATGTAACAAAGAAAAGTCAGTTGGTCTGAGGGAGAAGAAGAAATAAAAGAACAATTCTCTCATGATTATTATTCTTATTTCATAGTGGAGAACAAAAAGAATGACCAGATACGTTTTGAAAAATTGACAATTAATTGTAAAAAAAAATTAAAATTCTCATTTTGTCAATAATGGGTGAATCCTTTCCAGGCAGTAACTTCTCATTAATGGATTGTGGTTCACCAGCAGCTCCTGAAAAATCCACTGGTAGACCACAGGGTCTCCCAGATATGATGGGCGAATTGCTCAGATGAAGTAACTATAGAATTTTGGATTAAGAGCAGAGAAGAGATAATAAGTAAGCCTCTGCACTTCTACAACTATCTTGTATTCCCTTAGTGCAAGTGCAAATGGGTCCAAAGTTGTTGAAGAACAATCTAGCATGACATATGGTTCCTTAAAATGTTCATATTCCTCATCCCAGAAATTCCACTTCTAAGACTTGATCCTAAGAAGTACGTACAAAATGTGCCATGATGGATATGCCACTGGATGTGGCATTATTTGGAGCAAGAGAAAAAGGACATTCCCAGTCACTGGCAATAATGAATCCATACACTGGAATGCTTTGCACTTGTTAAAAAATCGTGCAGTAATCACCCCCAAATTATCAAACCGTGATTTAAAAGAGTTGCATTTTGTTGTGTATAAATTACAGATCAATGAAGTAGGTCTCTAAAGTGTATGAGATGGACCATTAAGAATGATTTAGAAAGATGCTCATGATGTGTAGCTGAAGAAAAGAACCAAGCAGTAGAGCAGGAGGTGTACTGTGATCCCCTGCATGTGTGTGCATGTATGTTTTTACATGTTTGTGTGTTGTGGGAATGGATGTTCTTATACATAGAAAAGATCTAGAATGTGTCACAAATACTCTACAGAGGTAATCTCTGAAAATGAAAATAAAGGAAATGTGAAAGATACTGATGTCAAATAACTCATTTTACTTCCCTCAGTCCCAGCATCCCGTCCCATCCTCACCCTCAGGGTGCCCGGGACTCGGGCCGTGGTGGGGGACGTGATGGAACTTCACTGTGAGGCCCACAGGGGCTCTCCCCCGATCCTGTACCGGTTTTATCACGACGATGTGTTCCTGGGGAGCAGGTGGCCCCCCTCTGGAAGAGGAACATCCTTCAACCTCCCTCTGACCCCAGAACATTCCGGAAGCTATGCCTGCGAGGCTGACAATGGCCAGGGTGCCCAGCGCAGTGACACTGCCTCACTCAGGGTCACAGGTGAGTGGAGGGCTCCAACTGCACCCCACCTGGGGATCCACCTTCCCCAGTAGCTGAGATCGGAGGTCACGCAGGGCTGTTAGCATGGTGACATCACAGCAGGCCTGCTCCTGACAGCCTCCATCTGGCACCAACTCCTCTTGCAGACAAGCTCCATGTTGTACTCCAGAGCTCTGTCCTGCAAGCTCTGTCCTCCTCTGTCCTCAATCTCCTTGCTCTGCATGGTCCTGAGGGTGTCATCTGTAAATGATTCCTAAACTTCTGGACACCTCTCACCTGAGCACACCTGCAGATGCCACACCTTCACTCAAATGCCGCCAAAGCCCATAAGCCCAAGCATCTCTAAAAGCAATCTCATGGCATCCCCCCAGACTCCTCCAAGTGTCGCTACTTCTGTAAGAGACAGTCCTTCATCGAGACACACAAGGTGAAACCCAGGAGCCTCCCTTGACCTTTCTCTCCCTTGTTCTTCAGAGCCAGTTGGTTATTAGGTCCTGTTGGTTTTACTTGCTAAATATTTCATGGATCTTTTCTCTTGATCTGCACTGCCACTCTCCTTGTGAAACCTATGAGCATCTCCATTACGGCCCGCCTCTCCACTGCACTTCTGTCCCAGTTCAATCCGTTTTGCATGCTGGGATCAGCATGCAGTCTTTTTAGAAGAGAAATTGGATAATCTCGTGCCCCTGTACAGATGCACTTACAGAACTCCATGGCTGTGTGAGGGAGGGCAAAGCCCTCCCCACAGCTCTTCCCCCCCCCCCCCACAGCTATTAAAGCCGGGCCTCACTCTCCTATTCACACCACTTGTCAGACCCACCTGTCAGTGCTGCTGCCACTTTTTCTCAGTAATTTCAGGACTCCAGCCTTCTTCCTGATTCAGGGCCTTTGCACATGCTGCCTGCCTGCCTGGCATGCTCTTCATCTCCATCTCTCTCTCTCTCTCTCTCTCTCTCTCTCTCTCTTTTAAAGATTTTATGTATTTATTCATGAAAGACAGAGAGAGAGGCAGACATAGGCAGAGGAAGAAGCAGGTTCCTTGCAGGGAGCCCGATGTGGGACTCGATTCCAGACCCCAGGATCATGTCCTGAGCCAAAGGCAGATGCTTAACCACTGAGCCACCCAGGCGTCCCTTCATCTCCATCTCTTCCTGGTTGGTTTCAAATGTCTCTGTGAAGAAGCATTTATTGATCAGCCTTTAATGGATCAGGTCCCAGTACTGCATTTCACAGTACCCTGGTCTCTACTTTATACCAGTTGTCACTGTGTCCTTCTACATCCAGGATTATTGTAATTATGGCCTGTCCTCTCCTCTGGACTGAGGCCTCTGGACAGTGGGGACTGGGTCTTTCTAGCTCACAGTATACCTCCCGGGACTTATTCATTGCATCATTATCTTTGATAAGTGAATGAAAATGCAAAAGAGCAAATAAGTTGATCAGTACTCATTCTCTTGTGGTCTTCATTCCTGATGTAGCCCAGGCTCACAGTGACACCCTGGCTGCATGAATAACCAGTCTCTCTCGTTCCTAGTTTCCATTGCACTGATTTCTCCTTCTCCCCGATTGTCTTTTGAGAAATCAAAAGACAGTTTAATCCTTGCTTTCAGATTCCCCACACACACGTGAGACTGCACACCCACGCACTGAGAAGGACACAGCACCACACCAATGTCATAGTTTCTTCAGATTAGAAGACATTACAGCTGGGTTCAGAGTAATGTCAGAAGGACACCAAAAACTGAGGAAAACAGATTCTGATTTGAAAAGTCTTTGCTATGGTGTAACATATTTAAACAGTGGGAACTGATGGTTAACTATTTTTCCTCCCTTAGTCCCAGCATCCCGCCCCGTCCTCACCCTCAGGGTGCCCGGGACTCAGGCCGTGGTGGGGGACGTGATGGAGCTTCACTGTGAGGCCTACAAGGGCTCTCCCCCGATCCTGTACCGGTTTTATCATGACGATGTGTTCCTGGGGAGCAGCTCTGCCGCCTCTGGAGGAAGAGCGTCCTTCAACCTCTCTTTGACCCCAGAACATTCCGGAAGCTATGCCTGTGAGGCTGACAATGGCCTGGGTGCCCAACGCAGCGACACCGCCTCACTCAGGGTCACAGGTGAGTGGAAGGCTCCAACTGCGGCCCACCTGGAGACCCACCTTCCCCAGTAGCCGAGATCAGAGGTCCCTCAGGGCCCTTAGCACGGTGACATCACAGCAGGCCTGCTCCCAGCAGCCTCCATCTGGCAGCCCTGGATCTGCATTTCCAGGAACTTGCACCTTCCCTTTGCCTGCTATGCATTCCCTGGAAGCAACACTGTAGCCACTCTGACCAAAGGGTCCCTAACATAGAAGTCAAGGCTCTCAGTACACAAACTACATGATCAACCGACAACGATCAGCAAGGAAAGAAATGATCCGAGCAGCCCTTGTCACCTCAGAAGAATTTCGGTGGGCGTTCCTCTGTCTGATAACCCGTAAGAAGGCCAGCTCACTCTCTCACTGGCCCTTCGGTTTCTCTCTGGCTTCTCCTGGCCCATCGGAGCAGCCCAGCCTCCCACCAGGAGCTCTGGCTAGATTTCCTGCCGCCCTTCTCCTCACTTTTCACCTGTCCCTGTTGTGTTCAGCTCCAGCAGGGTCTCCCAGCTGACCCTGTCACGGGCTGACCTCCCCCTCATGCCCCTCTCAGTGCAGCCTTGGCGCCTCGCCCACCGTCTCCTCTCCACTCTGCATCCTGCTATCAGTCCACGACTGTACGGTCCACAAAGCTGATCCCCTCAACACTGTGGCTTGTCATCAACCACATCAGCCACCACTGCCATGTACGCCCGCTGCTCCGATAACCTGACCATAGCCCGCTGTCCTACTTGCTCCTTCAATTCTTCCCATCCCCCTGTTCTCAGACCCCAGCAGAGCCCCAGCTCACCAATACCTCTGCTCTCTCCCAGATACTCGGTGACACCCCCAGCTGCATGAATAACCAGTCTCTCTCGTTCCTAGTTTCCATTGCACTGATTTCTCCTTCTCCCCGATTGTCTTTTGAGAAATCAAAAGACAGTTTAATCCTTGCTTTCAGATTCCCCACACACTTGAGACTGCACACCCACGCATTGAAAAGGACACATAGCACCACACCAATGTCATTGCTTCTTCAGATTAGAAGACATTACAGCTGGGTTCAGAGTAATGTCAGAAGGACACCAAAAACTAAGGAAAACAGATTCTGGTTTGAAAAGTCTTTGCTATGGTGTAACATATTTAAACAGTGGGAACTGATGGTTAACTATTTTTCCTCCCTTAGTCCCAGCATCCCGCCCCGTCCTCACCCTCAGGGTGCCCGGGACTCAGGCCGTGGTGGGGGACGTGATGGAGCTTCACTGTGAGGCCTACAAGGGCTCTCCCCCGATCCTGTACCGGTTTTATCATGACGATGTGTTCCTGGGGAGCAGCTCTGCCGCCTCTGGAGGAAGAGCGTCCTTCAACCTCTCTTTGACCCCAGAACATTCCGGAAGCTATGCCTGTGAGGCTGACAATGGCCTGGGTGCCCAACGCAGCGACACCGCCTCACTCAGGGTCACAGGTGAGTGGAAGGCTCCAACTGCGGCCCACCTGGAGACCCACCTTCCCCAGTAGCCGAGATCAGAGGTCCCTCAGGGCCCTTAGCACGGTGACATCACAGCAGGCCTGCTCCCAGCAGCCTCCATCTGGCAGCCCTGGATCTGCATTTCCAGGAACTTGCACCTTCCCTTTGCCTGCTATGCATTCCCTGGAAGCAACACTGTAGCCACTCTGACCAAAGGGTCCCTAACATAGAAGTCAAGGCTCTCAGTACACAAACTACATGATCAACCGACAACGATCAGCAAGGAAAGAAATGATCCGAGCAGCCCTTGTCACCTCAGAAGAATTTCGGTGGGCGTTCCTCTGTCTGATAACCCGTAAGAAGGCCAGCTCACTCTCTCACTGGCCCTTCGGTTTCTCTCTGGCTTCTCCTGGCCCATCGGAGCAGCCCAGCCTCCCACCAGGAGCTCTGGCTAGATTTCCTGCCGCCCTTCTCCTCACTTTTCACCTGTCCCTGTTGTGTTCAGCTCCAGCAGGGTCTCCCAGCTGACCCTGTCACGGGCTGACCTCCCCCTCATGCCCCTCTCAGTGCAGCCTTGGCGCCTCGCCCACCGTCTCCTCTCCACTCTGCATCCTGCTATCAGTCCACGACTGTACGGTCCACAAGGCTGATCCCCTCAACACTGTGGCTTGTCATCAACCACATCAGCCACCACTGCCATGTACGCCCGCTGCTCCGATAACCTGACCATAGCCCGCTGTCCTACTTGCTCCTTCAATTCTTCCCATCCCCCTGTTCTCAGACCCCAGCAGAGCCCCAGCTCACCAATACCTCTGCTCTCTCCCAGATACTCGGTGACACCCCCAGCTGCATGAATAACCAGTCTCTCTCGTTCCTAGTTTCCATTGCACTGATTTCTCCTTCTCCCCGATTGTCTTTTGAGAAATCAAAAGACAGTTTAATCCTTGCTTTCAGATTCCCCACACACTTGAGACTGCACACCCACGCATTGAAAAGGACACATAGCACCACACCAATGTCATTGCTTCTTCAGATTAGAAGACATTACAGCTGGGTTCAGAGTAATGTCAGAAGGACACCAAAAACTAAGGAAAACAGATTCTGGTTTGAAAAGTCTTTGCTATGGTGTAACATATTTAAACAGTGGGAACTGATGGTTAACTATTTTTCCTCCCTTAGTCCCAGCATCCCGCCCCGTCCTCACCCTCAGGGTGCCCGGGACTCAGGCCGTGGTAGGGGACGTGATGGAGCTTCACTGTGAGGCCCACAGGGGCTCTCCCCCGATCCTGTACCGGTTTTATTACGACGATGTGTTCCTGGGAAGCAGCTCAGCCCCCTCTGGAGGTAGAGCATCCTTCAACCTCTCTTTGACCCCAGAACATTCCGGAAGCTATGCCTGTGAGGCTGACAATGGCCTGGGGGCCCAGCGCAGTGAGGTGGTACCACTCAATGTCACAGGTGAGTTGGTCCTGCCCACAAGCAGCACAACCAAACATTGCAGGCCTTCTCTCCCCAACAGGCAAAGTGGAGCTTCAGCATCCCCACTGCTAGTTTGATAGTCCAGCTCCAAGGACTTCCTGCCAGCAGAAACCCCATCTGCAAATCAGGGACCCTTCCTGTGGTTACAGCTGCAGGAACCTGGACTTCCTGGCAGGACCGCCTTCCTGAATGGGATTAAAACTCCTCACTAAAAATGCAAAGCCCTTTTACAACATAGACTATATTCTGATCTGTAATTATGATTAAAAAGGGAAAGTGATGGATTTTGAGTAGAAGTTTTTCTGTTCCAAAAAAAGATTTGGCCATTCCTTGTCTGAGTTTTTCTGTCTTTGAGCCCTGCAAGCCTCTAATACTGTGCTTCTTTTATTACCAGGAATATAAATATTCCTCAAACTTCCATATTAAAAACTCTATATTAACATTAGCTCTGTGCATAGTATTTTAGGAGACACAACCAATCCAAGCCCATTTACAAAGTGATTCTTAAAGCCATTGGGACACAGGAGAACAGCACAGAGAGGCGAGAGCAGGGTGGCATGGATGACATCAGCCACCTCTCCATCAAATTCCTTCATTCTCTATGCTGCCCTCTGACCTTTTGCCATTAAGTATTACATCCAAGGAAAGCTGCTCTTCTTGTGAGCTCTGAACCTGTTGTAGTAGCCCATACTGGCTGGCCCAACTACCAAATTCCTGTCTAGGGAGCACTGGGGTATAGGAAAAGTATGCTAAGGGCAATTGAGATGAATTTTCTGGTCATCACCATTACCATCACCATCACCATCACCATCAGCACCACCACCACCATCATTACCACCATCACCACCATCACCATTATCATCATCACCACCAGATCATCATCATCACCACAACCATTATCATCATCATCAGTATCGTCACCATCACCGTCAACACCATTATCACCACCACCATCATCATCACCACCATCATCATCTCCACCACCACCACCATCTCCACCACCACCATCATCACCATCACCATCATCATCACACCACCATCAACATCTCCACCACCATCATCACTACCACCATCATCATCACCACCACGGTCATCACCATCATCACACACCAGCATCACCATTATCATTGTCACTGAGCCCTTGCATGTGTTAAGTCATGTGCTTAGTACTTGGCATGTAATATCTCATTTCATCTTTAAGGTAAACCAATGAAAGTACTTTTAGCCAAAATTTGCAGGAGAGGAAGGTGAGGCTCAGAGGTGGAAAGTAGCCAGTTTACACACATCTGGCAATGGGAGCTACCATGGGTACCATGTTGAGGCATAGGCCTACCCAGTTCTCCATCTACATCTACATTGTCACATTCTTTCATCCTTTGTGGCCATGTTTTAACGCAGATTTTGAGTTTTTAGTAATTCATTACTCTGAAGGAATACATAAATCTTCATAACAAGAAAAATGAATGGTACAAAAAGGACACTATGAAAGGTGAAGGCCTCATTCTACCTGCAGCCACATACTTTCATGTCTACATACTTCCAAGATACAACCACTGTTAATAGTTTCATGGAGAAGAGAAAAGAAAGGAGAGAATTTCATGGACATTTTTCCCTCTTTTAAAGATTTTATTTAAGTTTAATTTAGTTAAAATATATAGTATTAATTTCAGGGGTATAATTTAGTGGTTCATCAGTTGCATTCAACACCCAGTGTTCATCACCTCAAGGCCCCTCTTTAATGCCCATCACCCAGTTACCACCATCCCTTGCTGCCTGAGCAATTTGTTTTTTAGAGTTGATTCTCTTATGGTTTGTCTCCTTCTCTGTTTTAATCTTATTTTTTCATCCCTTCCCCTATGTTCATCTGTTTTTTTTTCTTAAATTCCACATATAAGTGAGATCGTATGGTATTTGTCTTCCTCTGACAGACTTATTTGACTTAGCATAATTCCCTCTAGAAGTCCTAGCCTCAGCAGTCAGACAAGAAGAAGAAATAAAAGGCATACAAATCAGCAAGGAAGTCAAACTCTCACTCTTTGCAGACAACATAATACTCAATGTAGAAAACCCAAAAGACTCCACACAAAATTTGCTAGAAATCATGGGTATTTTTCCAGAAACATTCAAATATATTATAAACATAAGGGTATAATTTTTCCCAGAGGTAGAATCAGGTTATACATAATCATACAACTTGCATTTTCACTTAAAAGAATCGTCTTGGATATCTTCTTTTTCATTAGTTAATTAAATAGGTTGCCTGTAGTTTTTAGCTATTGTAAAAATTCTAGCACAGAAATCCTTGCACAAATGCCTTTGCATAGCTCATGTCAGTATCTCCAAAGGAAGCAGTCTTAGAGGTAGAATTGTGGGGTCAAGTTTGATGTGCATTTTAAATTTGGCAGTTATTGCCATACAAGAAAGGGTCTCAGATCTGCCTTCCTTCCCAGAGATCATTGACTGTCCACGAGTCCATGAGTATTATCTGTTTTTTTAAGGTTTACCCATCTGATGGGTGTTTTTATGTATTTATATTCTATTTCTATTTCTATGTATTTCATTAGTAAATAGATACTAATTAATAATCTCTTTATCTACTTATTGGCTACTTGAAGTTTATGGTGATTCATACCCTTTCCACACTTTTCTGTTGGGTATTTTTCCTTTTGCATTTGTAGATTAGGTCTTTAGCTTTGTCATATGAGTTTCAATCTATTTTCCAAGACTGAGACCTGACCTCTGCCATTTGTTTATAATTTCTGCTCCTTTACGAATATGTTAGAAGTAGGACCTTCTATTAACTTTTTATCTCCCTTAGTTCCTGCATCACGCCCCATCCTCACCCTCAGGGCTCCTGGGGCCCAGGCCTTCCCTGGGGATGTGATGGAGCTTCACTGTGAGGCCCACAGGGGCTCTCCCCCGATCCTGTACCGGTTTTATCATGACAATGTCATCTTGGGGAGTAGCTCAGTCCCCTCTGGAGGAGGAGCATCCTTCAACCTCTCTCTGACCGCGGAACATACTGGAAACTACTCCTGTGAGGCTGATAATGGCCTGGGGGCCCAGTGCAGCGAGGCGGTGACACTCTCCATCTCAGGTAAGTTTCCTGTGCCCAGGCCACAGATGTGGACAAATATCTCCTCCAAGGGTATTCTGATGATCCCAGTGACATTTGACCAGGGCCATGCACCTTATGGATGGGGGCACAAAGCTGAGAGTTCTCTACCTGGTTCTCTTCTCAAGTGTTTCTGAAGTGATGGTACTTGAGTGGGAGCAGGGGACCAAGGAGGATCCCTGACTCTGGAGCTCACTGGTGGGCACCGTCCATCCCGACCCTGTGGCCTTGCCTCAGCTGCACACATGTCTCCCAGAGATAAGAGCCTCTTCCTGGGCTGCCTCAGGAGTCCTGGTCCCCCGAATTCCTCCTCTCTCTAGGCCCCAGCATCAGCTTCAGGGGCAAAGTAGTTCAAGACCATGAGCCTCTCCCTGTGGCTCATGCATGGGGTCTCCTCTCCAGGGCTGACAGGGAGCAGACTCGGCCCTGTTGCCACAGGCGTTGCTGGGGGGCTGCTCGGCATGGGGGGCCTCGCAGTTGTGGCACTGCTGTTGTATTGCCGGCTTCCCAGGAAAGCAGGTGGGTAACCTCTGCTTCAGTCCCTGCCCTCCCTGCCCTAGCCCTCAGGCTCACACTGCCTCTGTAAGCTCCCCTGAGCTCTCAACAGCCCCTCCTCCTGCCACAGTTCCTGGTCCCCACCTTTCCTGCCCAGTCCCCCAGAATTCGTCTTTACAGAGTTCTCAAAACAGCCCGAGTGCAGGGAAGATGCCTCAATGAGACAGTTTATCCAACATCATAAACCTCAGGGTGTCTCCCTCTCTGCCCTTACGAGGCCCCCAAGGAAAGGGGAGGAAGACAAGAGAGACTGAGAAATAGAAGTGGGAACAGAAACCCAGTGTGACGACTTCCTGATGTGCAGTATTTCCCCAGCTGATCAGGTCTGTTCTCCCCCTGCAGCTTCGGAGCATCGCTCTTCCTGGTATAGCTATGCCCCAGTGGAAGCGGGGGTCAGGAGATTTGCCTCCTCTGCCGCCTCCCTTGGGCATAGCAGAGCAGGGTCCGCTCAATGTCTGCGACCCCTGGCGGGTCCGGGTGAGCCTCCCAGCAGGTCTGCCCCTCTTAAGGCCTCCTTCTCCTGCTCCAGTGACCTCTGCTTTCTTTGCAGGAGGAAGGACCTCTGACCCCTCCAGGTAAGACCCGGGCTGTGTGTTCTGTGTGGTTCATGAGATGAACCACGGGGGATAAAAGTGAACCAGGTCTGGTCACTGCTGGGGACACAGATAGGTTGTGCCAACTTCGTGTTGCTGTCTCCTTTGGTGTATGTCAAGGCAATTGCCAGGACCTTCTCTCTGCCACCTTAGCTACATAGACCTTTTTGCATGGAGTGTAAAGTGCTTTTTATTTATTAACTTATAACTTATTTATTAACTTAACTTATATCCTTTACCACCATCACCTTGGTTGTCTGAGTGACGGCTATAAGACTGAATCCATCCATGTCCTAAACTAGTCTCAGCTCAGCCAGGCTACAAAGCTCTGGAATGACCAACCTAATACCTGCTGTGGGGACAACCGAACAGATGGAGTCACATGACTCACCACCCAAAGAGACCGCTCTGCCAACCAGAGATGGTACCTGGGAACAAGGGACTGCCATCGTGGATCCCAGAGGTTAACCTTGGGAGCCTCAGCACAGCTTGCAAACTGTCTCTGGACAAGCCTGTGGCGGCAGAATCCAAAACATGCAGAGTTCCTCTGAGCCTCATAGTGACTAATTTCTCTGAGATCCTCTGAGATCCTGATCTCTCTAGGACTTCCAGTCCTGACTCTTGCCCTGTGTAGTCACATGGTCTTGAGCAAGTCACTTTGCCTTTTGGGAATCACCACCTTGTCCATCTATAAAAGAGGGATAATAGTAGAATCACCTCCATATTACTGTAAGCAGTAGCACTGTGCCTGGTTGTGTCAGGTGCCCATGAAGCCCAGAAACATACATAATTTGTAATGTGATAGTTCATAACAGCACACTATCTGGTATGTGCTCATCTCTGTGTCCAGACTTAGTAGCCATCCTGTGCTTTAAACACCTGCCAACAGGGAGTGATAGGTACAGCTCTTTGTCAGGGCTACTGGGAGACATGGCTGTTTTTTTCTCATAGGAACCCTTCAAACTCGGACCCCCAAGACCCCACCTACTACAATGTACCTGGCTGGATAGAGCTGCAACCAGTATACAGCAATGGTGAGGACCAGGGACCCCTCCCATTTGGGCAGGGACCTCAGGGTTGGTCCGGGCAGGGGTGAGGCAGGAGATGACCACGGGGCTGTGCAGAGGCTGGGAGCACACGTGTCCCTGCAGAGAATAAGCTCTAGCTGGGGGAGGAGGAAGCCACTCAGACAAGAGGCAAGGACCTTATAGTTCTCTCAAACTGCAACTTCTTCCCAAGTAAATCCTAAAGGAGGAGACGTGGTGTACTCAGAAGTCCGGAGGATTCAGGAGGGGAACAAACAAGCAGGTAAGACCTGTGGACCATTGGCTTTGAAGGTGCCTAACTGTGCAAGGTTGGCCTCCATCCCTTCTGCAGATCTGGGCCGACCAGACACAGAGCTGCCCGTGTGCAGGGGTTGCTGGTTTTCTTCGCTTGCACCTCTCTACGCTGCTGGGGTCCTCAGCCCCACCGAGCAGGGGTGCATCTTCCATTCCCCACTGATGGCCTCAGGAGAGTCTGAGGCCCCTGTCAGGGCTTCCACATTCCCAGCTGTCACAGGACACAGGGCTACCATTCCTGTCCTATTGCTGCCATGACAAATGTCAATTACACATTGTCTTGCCATGCTGGGGGTCAGAGGTCGGACACAGGTCTCCCTGGGCTAATGTCGTGGAGGTATTGCCCTGGCTGCGCTCCTTTCTCTCTCAGGGGAGAAAGTACATCTTTGCCCTTGCCAGCTTCTCAAGGACACCCCTCCCCACAGTTCATGGCCCCTTCCTCCATCTTCAAAGCTGGCAGTGCCACAGCTCTCTGATCATTCGTCCAGCGATGGGTCTTCCTCTGAGCACAGCTGGGAAAAGTTCTCTGATTTAAAGCTCTTAAAATCTCACCTGCATAATCCAGGGTAATCTCCAATTTCAAGGTCCTTAATCTTAATCATGCCTGCAAAGTCTTGTTTTTCAAGGTCACAGGGACAGGGTCACAGGGTCAAGGTCACTTGTTTTTCACAGATCCCAGGGATTGGGACATGAACATCTTGGGGGACATGCCTCTGCTTCCCACTCTAACCCATAGGGTTGAGGAGGCAGACATGGGAATGCTATCCCAGCAGCTTTGAGAGTGGCTTGGTGCTGGGGGTCTGATTGTGCCAATCGTCCCAGGTGGGTGCTCGGCCACGAACAGCCCCAGCCCAGCTCCCTCCTGCACAAGGGAAACCTGCCTTTGGGGCAGACTCTCTCTCACCTGCGCTCTGTAGAGTGCTGTGTGATTTTAGCCATTCTGCTTCTCTGTCTGGTGTTCTGAGCCTCTTGCATAAAGTCGAATGAACTGTGTTCGTGCCTATTCTTGGTTCAGTGGCTCACCTGCGACACACATGAACACTCTCACACTTACAACCTCCTTTGAGTGAGTATTGTTATTATCCCAATTTTACAAATGAGGAAACTAAGGCAGAGAAACTTAAGTGACCAGCCTGAAGTCACAAAGCCATGAATCACTGACCATTCCAGGAAGCCGAGATGGTTACTCCAAGCCAAAAGGAGAGAGCCCTCCTGAAGGATGTCACATTCCGTTCCAGATTTAGGACAGTATTAACATCTAGCATCACATCCACATGTGTTGTTGTGCCAAGTACAGTTCCAAGTGCTATAAGTAAATATACTATGTGTACTTATATATTTAGCACTTGTTTATTTTATTTATAGTAGTCAAGACTGTACCTGGTAACTATGTAGGTGTGACAGACGCCAGAAAATACATACACACACATGCACACACACAAACGCTTATAAATTTACAATAACCCTAGAGGTGGATGATGTTATTATGCCCACTATACAGATGACACCATTGGGGCAAAAGAAGTGGCAGTGACCTGCCTGAGGCCACAGAGGGGCATGGCCGGGCTGTCCACAGTACATGCTGGGAGTTTGTGCTCAAAGTAATAGCAAGAGAAGAGGTGGATTCCTGGTCTTGGGGAGTCTGGGGAGCTTGGACTGATGCTGTGGAGGGGTTGGGCCCTGTTGGAGGTCCAGGTCTCAGGATAGGGCCCTGGCGGTACAGGGAAGGTGCCGTTTGGTGGAGAGAGGATCTGAGACCGGAGAGGAACAGTGAGGATATGGGGCCAGGCAAGAGCGTTGGCCGCCTTTGCCAGCTGAGTGCTGCTCTTCTTCCCACAGTGGCCTCAGACTCCGCATTAAGACTCCTCTGGACCTACCTGCCCTCTCACGGCCCGATCGCCAGCCCCCAGCCTTACAGCGCCCAGGGCTCCTCTGTCATCTACTCCCAGGTGAAAGTGCAATCCTTCCTGACCTCCACGGCTGAGTCCGCACACACCCCCTGCACCCCAAGCAATCCTGGGGGCCAGAGACATTGAAGTGGGACGATCTGAATGGCTCCAGGCCTCCTCCTATGAGATAGAGCACAGGCCCTGCAGGACGCCGCTGTTTCCCAAGTGACAGCTTGGAGCTCGTGGGTTTGTTGTCCAGGGATGTGTTTCTCCCACCCAGGGCCATCTTGTCCCCTGGTTTCTCCACAGGCTTCAGTCACCGTCCATGTTCTGTCCCACTTCCACATACACCCCAACCTCTCCCCATGGGACCTGCTCCTGGACCTTGCCATGGACATCTGCCCCCTGTGGACACCTGCCCCGTCTACAGACACCAGTCCTTCCCACAGACATCTGAGCTGCCATCACATCTGCCCCCCCCCATAGATACCTACCCCTCTGTGAACACGTGTCCCCATATGGACACCTGCTCCCCCGCAGACACCTGTCCCCCATGGACACCTGTCCCCTCATGACACCTGCCCTCCCCACAGACATTTGCCCCCCTGCCAACACCAGTGCCCCCACAGCTGCTTCCTCAATGGTTGTCATCCTGGCAGGGCTACCACAGCACTCTGCCAATTGGGACAGCATGGGGCCCAGGGGACAAGCGCAGATGGACCACAGACCTCCTCATCATGGGGCTGCATTTCGTGCCCCATCTGCCTCAGACGCTAAGGCAGTCCCTGACACCAGGCTAGCTTCTCCCTTGCTGATGGGCCAACACCCCGTCCTGTGTGCCCTCCAATGCAGGCACAGGGTCTCCCTCCCACCTGTCACCATGAGGAGACACACATCCCAAATGTGGGCAGTTCTGACACAGACACTTCTGAATGTCATAAGCCAGAGACAAGCAGTGAGAGCCAGGGGATAGAGGAGGCCTGATGACCTAGTAGGAACTGTGATCAGATTTGGATCAAGAAGAAGCCACAGGAGAAATTTTGGAGACAGTTAGGGAAAAGGGAATATGAACTATATATTATTGATACTATTGAATCGATAATCTGATACTACTTTTAGAATATTTTTGAAAATATTTGAAATACTTTGAAGTGACTCAGTAAAAACTTTTAAATATGTGTGTGTGTTAGTGTGTGTTTTGGTGTGTAATTGGGGGGGGGTTGTGTGTGTGTTAGTGTGTGTGTCTTTGCAGGGAAAAATCACAAATGTGGCAAAACCCCACATCTGGTGAATGCAGAGAAGGGCACTCAGCATTTTCTGTATTATTCTCTCCTTCAACTTTTCCCAGATTTCATTTTTTTAATACAATATTGAGTGCAAGAGCACAGAGCACCTCAGATCCTGGTGTTGAGTTGACAGGTGCCATGGGTGCTGGCAGGGCGTCACGCAGTCCTGTGGTCCCTCCCACCACCACTGGCTCAGGGTCTGAGGAGCCCAGGCCAAGAGGAGAGCCAGACAAGACCTGGAGGACCACGGCTGGGGTTTGCAGCTGAAAATATCTCCTTTCCTTTCCTTGGGGGCTTCATCTTGGCCCCATTGTTCTTCCCCGAGGATTTCCCAGGGTGTCCACAGCATCGGAGCGTCTGCGGCACACTGGAGTTGGCATGCTAGCGGTGCCTTGGGTTCATGCTGCCAACCCTAAAAGACTGCCTGTGAGCCCGGATGATGTAATCTGGGGAGGGTAACGGGGTGCACAGGGGCTCTCGGCTTGGGTGCCACGTCACCTGGAGTGGCCTCTGACACGATCACCCTTCTGATCACTGCCCGGGAGTGCTCCAGGGGGCTGCGCAGAGGGCGAATACTGGTCTGGGGGAGCACCCTGCAGTGTGGGATCAGCAGGGATGTTCTTTCCGCTGACCACACCCCTGGCCAGCGGCAGGCTTAGTGGCTGAGGGCATGTGGGCCCCACACAAGGTTACAGGAACATTAGAGTTTTCAATAAACACTCCCTGACTCTTCCCTAGTTGAGGTGATGGCCATCGATGCACCATCTTCACCGGGGAAGATTTGCTATGGGGATTTGATCTCCCTCTCTTCCCCTCTCCCTGGTCCCATGCAGGCCTGTAATCAGACATGTGTGTCTTCTCTGAAGACGGAAGCTTTCCCTGGGGTGGGCCGTAGCAAGTTCCAGCCTGGACAACTCCCAGCTGGTTGGCCCACCTGGCTTTCACACCTCTACCCTATTAATTGTGCACTAGGGTTTTCCAGAGAAATAGAACCAAGGGGAGACAAGTAAAGACATGCATGGAGAGAGTGACAGAAGAGAAGCTGATTTATTCCAAAGAATTGGCTCGTGTGATAATGGGGACTGAAAAGCCCCAAGATTTGCATTTGGCAAACTAAGGACCGAGAAGAGCCAATGTAGTTTCAGCCCAAATGCCAGCAGGTTCGAGCCTCAGGAAGAGCCAACATTTCAGTCTGAGTCCAAGGCAGGAAGGAGACAGATGTCCCAGCTTGAAGCTGGTCAGGCAGGACAAATTCTTTCTTACTTGGAGGAGGATCAGCCTTTTCTGTTCTATTGAAGCCTTCAACTGATTGTATGAGGCCCACCCACACTGGGGAGAGCAATCTGCTTCACTCCATCCAATTCCAATGTTAATCTCTTTCCCTATCCCGATTCTCTGGGATCACTCCTGGAACCACCCTCACAGACACACCCAGAACAATGTCCACATGTCTGGGCACCCCGTGGCCCAGTAAAACAGACACATAAAACCCACCATCACAGTCATAAAGGTGGTCTCCTGGCTCCATTAAATTTTGGGGATTTTCCCTGTTCTGTTCAGAACTCTGACAGGGAAGAGGGGTGTTATTCTGGGGCTCCCCTCCAACAGGAGAGGTACCTGTCTGGCCTCCCTCATGTTTGTGGTTAAGAGCATGTCAACCGTTCCAAGGTCACACACACTTGCTTTCTTTCTCCATTATGCCTTTGGTCCCTTAACGGTCCATCTTTCTCTTTGGCAGAGGGCTGACCTGCACCATGTCTCCTGATTTAACTCCTATTTCAACCAGCCAGCCTTGGTGTCGTCCCTGCTCCTCTCCCCTCTGGCTAACACTGCCCACTCAACAGAGATCTGACTCCTGACAGCAGCTACTATGTACTGAAGAAGTGATGAGTGTCAGGTGTCATGGGAGGCATTCTACATAAATCATTCCATTCTCCCAGTAAGCTTGTGCACTGTGTGTCCATGAGTGTCCTTCTTACAGATGAGGAAACTGAGGCCGAGAGAGATGACATCATTTAGCCAAGGCCATACATCAGGGAGTGGAAGCTACAAGTGCCCAGCACCAGAGGCCATGCTCTGGGCTACCTGACCAAGTGTCCCTGGTGGGCGTCACGGGTCACTAGTCCTGTGTGGACAGAGGCGTTAGTAGTGAAGCACAAGACACCTGCAGTGGGAAGGCCTGGCTCCTGATGGGCTTCTACTATTCCCCATCTGGCCTCTCCAAGCTCTGGTCGGTGTGGCTGTAGGACAGGGTAGTAACAGCTGCTTGACTGAATCACATGTCAAGATCGTGTTTGTGTAAACACTGGGCAGGTGTTCTCAGAAGCAGGTAGTGAGATGCCCATGTTCTCTACGACGCTTGTGTAGGCTTCTGTTTGTCTTTCTTGTCCCAATCCCATCACTACAGTGAAGCAGCTGCGGATTGCCAAAAAGAGATTCCAGAAGGGAATGATGGACAATAATTTGGTATCCTTCTCAAGGTGAGGAGAGCAGGGTAACTAGGTAGGAGGTGTGGAAATACCCATGCTCACCATTTCAGGGACCTACTTTGGTGACTTGGGTGCTATTTAGTCATTTCCCAGAGAAATAAAAGCAAAGGAGTGCTTTCCCCAGATGCATTCTCCTGAGTCTCTTGTAGACAAAAGGACATGCTGTCCATGCACAGAAAGTCCTCGAGTACGTGCCCAGTCCTTGGCCAGGGGCCTGGCACACCTGCCAGCTGGGGATTCATGGCACCAGGCAGCAGAAAAGGGAGGAGGTGCCAGGGCTGGGGCTGGTGAGCCTAGTGCACTCCTGCCCCCTGTCCCGCCACTGTCCCCATTCTCTGGGATCACTCCTGCACTTGGTCACCTCTGAACCCACATGTCCACGCGTGCCTCCCAGGGGAGGCCACAGCACCAGCCCAATGGCTGGGTCAGTGAGAACAGAGAGGACAATGGGAGAAATGGAAGAAGAGCTGAAAGAGTATGGGGGACAGGCGCCCCTCACTCGCCTCCCTTTCTCCTGCCCAGGTCGTCCTCTCTTGGTCTAGGATATACAGGGCACCTGGCCAGGGAGACAAGTTCTGTTGGGGATGGAAAGGCTCTGTGGCTGTAACTGTGCAGTACTGGGGGTGTAGGGAGGTTCAGGGAATGTCTTGGCTGTGCCCAACCAGGCCCTGGATTCTGGGGTTGGGATGCAGGCTCTGAGGGGAGGGAGAGAGCAGATGAGTTCCAGTCATCTAATCATCAAATCTTATCAAAGGACAACTGGAAGGTATCACAGTTGAGACTTTTCTCATGCTTGAGGCTCTCCACATGATCCTTGCTCAGACATCCTCCAGCCAGTGCTGGAATACCTCCTAGGCCAGGGAGCTCAGTGCCCCCACATCACAGAAGGTGGCAGCTGGAGAGATCCTTGGGACCAGCTGGCCCAGTGAAGGCCGGGGGTGACAAATCCTCATGCTTCCTGTTACCCCGCCTGCACTCTGGGAGCCACCTCCCTGTAACTCTCCCATGCCAAGACTTTGCTCACTAGACTTCCTAGCCCAGTTGACTCTTCCAGGCATTACCTTCAGAAAGCTGGACGAGGGGAGCAAGCTTGGGTGGGAGACCATGGCTTTCCTCATTGCCATTCTCTCTTCATTCACCAGATATTTACTCAATGCCAATGACCGAACCAGGCATTGTGCAAGGCACTTAGAATGTATTGGTGGACAAAACTGATGAAAATTCTGTCTTCAGGGAGTGGGCATTATAGCAGGGGAAGCAACCACTTAGCAGCAAACGTGATAGGTCATTCGGGTAGTAATCGAGAGGGTGGTACATGTCACAGAAGTAAAGCAGCATGAGGGGGGCAGGCTACAGTTATCAATAGGCAGTCATGGAG